CATAATCGGAATCACAGAAACTCAAAGGAGAACATTTAGACAAATGTCATCAACAGTTTAATTCAAATCGGCTCAAATTCATTATTTACACAGAAAAATACAGAATTAAATACATATGTAGCAGGAACATAATTCATGCTGTCTGAGACTTGATGTGTGAATTGTTGTAACACTGTTCTCAGCTTGTGTCAGACCTGAGATACAGATGAATTCTCTGTGTCTCTGTCAGAGGACGAAGACGTGAACAGTGATGGTGTCTGGACTCATGATTGTTCTCCAACGTTCCCGTCACTCACAGGTCCAGGTGAAAACTCTGCCCCAGGCATCGCCCGCCAACAGAGTAGCATGGCTCCTACACAGGAGAAAGTAATGCAAATGTATTCTGTTGTAAAGCAAAAATACAGACCCACACACACACAGTGCAGTTTATGTTAGTCAGAGTTGGTGAGAATTAAGTCAAATCCTGGGGTGTATAGTATCACTTCAGCTTTTAAAAACACATTTTGAATGAACTCTGAATTGATTTTGTGATTCGATGATTCGACACAGACTAATTCCTGCCTCTGTTGCAGTGAGTGGATGCAGGATATTTACTGTACCTGGACATGGACAGAGCTGTGATGGCCGGATTTTTTTTGTAGTGGCGTTGCGACACAGCCTGACTTCTGCTCAGCTCTTGGCATGACACCAGATGTCTCCCCCAGCCTTTAACCGGGCGTGAGCTACTCACTGTGGACACAGAAAACATCATCCTCCATCCATTACTCAATCCTGTCTGTGACTCTGACGTAGTGGTCCCCTCAGAAAACTTACCTGTGTATCATCACTGTATCTATCTGCGGTTATAATTTCAAAAGGGAGAAAAATCCCTCAAATATAAACGCTTCAGTGGTACGTAGACTTGTCTCAATGTAATTTGCAAAGCATAATACTCCTATGAGGTGATGCGAGGCTGTAACCAACGTATGCCAAATTGGATCTGGGTATTATTGCTTTCTAAATTATACACGCACACACACGTCAGCAGAATTACTCATCAGTGTTTACTGCCTCTATGTTTAATAACTTTATAACAACATAATTTCAGCTAGCCCTAACGCTAGTGAGGGATGGGCTGAGCATTACAATCTCTCATCTGGAAACCACACTGTCTCGCTCTGAGATGAGCGCTTAAAAATGATCATCTAACACTTAAGGATGTATCTAATTAGATAAATATGATGGGATTCTTTTTGAAACATGCAGGTGCTTCTTAGTCAGTGTCACAGTTATGCTACTGTCAGCCACTCCCATTCCCCGTGTTGTTACAAATACAACACGTACAAGCACATCCGATCCTACTGCCAGTAACATTACCGTCTCTCTCGGTTTGGTCTTGCCCTGGGGACACAGGCTCTTCTGGAGGGCCAGGTAATTGTGTTCTGGTGTACTCCGTCTTCCATATCTGTATGAGAGACACATAACGAGTAGCAAAATCAGACATAATTCAACATAATAACAAAGCACACTCACATATGCCGCAGCACACGCGCACACACACCCCATAACTCAAGGTAATAATAAAGTAATAATACCGTTTGTGTGTGTGTTGTGCATGTGGCATGGACACCAAGTGAAGCCTAATTTAGAGTATGCAGCTGTGATTGTATAGAGGCAGCATAAGCTTATATTAATCCGAAGCAAAAACAGTCTCACATATGCTGTTATTAATACCATGATGGACAGTGAGGCTAATACTAAAGTAGTGACTGCCACAGTTGAATACTGTGTATTATACAGTGTGAATCATACAAAGAGCGACCAGACAGTGACTTTAAAGAAAGACATTCTCTCACAGATGCAGCAACAACCACCCATTACAGTGGTAAAAACACTCACCTGTATGATGCCATCTGCACAGCCAGTAACAATAACATTCCTAGTGTCCCACTCGTGTCGCTGAGTGAAGCTCACACACAGGATGTCAGCCCGGGGCCCGCAGGAAGTGTCAGTGCAGGTCAACAGCTGACCGTTCATGGTCCACAGGTAGAGCTGAGGTCCTGCACATGACGCAATCTCACCCTTTGACAGAAAAATATGCTGTTGACACCCATGTGCGCACATAAAAATCATAACACACAAAGAGGATAAGAGGATATGCATGTTGTCAACTTTGAGAACCCTCCCTTCCTCATGCCGTAAACTGAACGAAGGGGAATAACATGGCAGCACTGTGCCAAAAATTACACAACAGATGAAAACGCTTCTGGGAGGTGGGTAAGTTAAGAAATACTAAGATGATGAAGAAGATAGACTTACGGTGAGGTCATTGATAGCCAGGGCAGAGATGCTGGTTGTGTGTCCTGCTAGCTGGGTGATGTAGCTTAACTCCTCCATATCCCACAGGATACAGGTGAGGTCGCAGGAGCCACTTACTATCAGGCTGTGGACCTCAGACACCGCCAGACATGTCACTGCATCTGTGTGACCGTATAACGGCTATGAAGACAAACTGGGTCAGTGGGTTTGAATTCTATGCGAGCTTCAATACACTCAGAGTGTTACTGATTAATCTCACAAACTCACAGACAAACTAACCTGTCTGAGTCTCATGTGAGTGAGTTTGTCCTTGTTGACTGCGACATCCCACACACACACCACTGTGCTGGTTCCTGCAGTGATGACGGTCGTCGGGTTTGGACAGGCCGCGCACAACATCGTGCCCCAGTCACATGAACTCTCACACACTGCAAACGTCTAGAGATGGACATACATCAGAAAATCAGCATGACACAGTTTGTGTATGTTGGACGTCAGACACGATGACAAGCGAGCGGGTTTATGGACATGATACTAGTTATCTGATGCCGTATGTGGCTTCCCCCAGACTGTGTTGACATGCTTAAATTTATGTTCAATTTGATTCATAATACCAGAGGCAACTTCATCCTCAAAACGTTTTGCACCATTTTGCTGCAGTCACAGAGTTGAAGGACATGTCGGCTCAAAAAGCTGTGCAACAGACTTTGAGGTAAGTGATAAAATGGCTGTGAACACGTTGGATTGTTAGAGATGTTGGAGATGTTAAATAAACATCTTTTGTAATGATCTTATTTAACACAAACTAATGATTATTTAATCTTATTTTATGGGCAAATGAAGAGACAGTAATATCAAGTATATTTTGCATTTAACATGTACTTCAACCCATGTCATCCATTGCCAAGATTTCTTCCACAAGAATGGCCATAGTTTCAATGCTTGTATTATAACTCAGTGTTCAACGCACCAACGCTTATGTTTAAATTCATGTTTTGCTATATTTTGTCTGGGCTGAACGCAGCAGTGGAGATATAGGAATGTACACAGTGATTAACTGTATGACCCTTTATACATACCTTCTCTGTGCTATAGTTTCCAAAGGCACAGCTGTTGTCAGGGAAGCCCCAGCTAAAGAAGCAGGTTGACAGAGGCGACAGGAGGAGACGGTTTTTCTCCAGCACCAACACTTCTTTTTCCAGACACAGTATCTGACCCACTGGGCCCCTCGGCAGCTCTGTAGATAGGTTTACAGTGGAGAGTGGGGCAAGGTGAGTTAAGAGTTGTGAAAGAAAGTAAGGGAGTGATTCTTAAAAAAAACAAGTGAAAACATATGCACCCATATAAAAGTCATTGGTGTAAAGAAAATAAAAAGTGACCTCATTTTGCCTTTTGTGTACCTGAATAAACTTTCCAGGCCAAATGAAGGTAATGGCTGCTCAAAAACATCAGATTAAAGAGTTTGGGAGCTCAGTAAACATTTTTTTTTTTTCATTAAATTGACCACAGAAAAACTGGGCAATTAAAACTGCTATTCACAGGTTACAACGAGCTGAGCAAACCTCTGTCCTACGGGGACACCTGCATGGTGGATAGAATAAGTTGTGCGTGCATGTGTTTGTGTGTGTTTGAGGCAGCAAGAGAGGCTGTAATTGTGCCTATAATTGACCTGTACATACAGGGGCAGGCAGAAATCATTACATCCTTTCACCATTTCTGCTTTTAAAGTCCCCAGGAAGATCTTGTGCCTGCATTAGTCTTAGCATTCTTCCTCCTATTCATCTCTATCTGCTTATTGATCAGATCAGACAGTCTTAGATTTAATATGAAATGTAATATGCAGGAATCTCTCCCTGAGCATTCGCAGATTCATCTCCTCTCCCTCAGTGAGCCTGTAGGGATATTCAGATTATTAAGTAGGGCTCAGCGGAAGAGTCATCTCCATATTGTAGCTCTAACAGATAGCTCCTTCTGCCCTTCCTCACCGTAAATTAATCTATGGACATTCTCGCTCTGTTTCAACGATTCCCTTGAGACCTGGGCGCATCTTGTATATAATAATTGACATCAAACGGTGTGAAATAAAATAAAGGAGGAACAATACACAATAGTGCCCAATGCAGCTGACTGTAATTGATTGAATTTGGTTTACTCAGCAGAAAATGTCTTTGTTGATTCAGTAGTTTGGAAATGTTTGTTGATTATGAAGCTACATTATGATGCATTAATTTTATACCTTGGCTGAGAGTATGCTAAATATGAAGCTACAGCCTGCAGCAAGTAAGCTTCGCTGAGCATAGGATAAAGACTACGAATGTAAAGAAAGCTATAGTCTGGCCTTTAAAAAAAGCTAAACAGGCGATGGTAGCCAAATTTTATTAACCTTTGGTGAATTTGATCAATCTTTCATCTAACTTTTGGCATGAAATCAAAAAAAGAGTACATCCCAATATGTTAAAATTAATATCACGTTTGCTGTCTCTTTCATTGTCTACCTCTACCTCTGAATGGATGTGTAGTGGTCTTCAGCCTGTCCAGTCTGAAGAAAAATGGAGTTGGATGGGGTGTTGACAATCCCTCTTTCTTAGAGCCATGGCGTGGTGGATGTGGTTTGGTGAAAAGCTGTGGAAAAAAAACAAATGCTTTACTAAAATAATATTTTCTAAGAACAATATGATGCACCTACACGGTGGAAATCATGTACTTTTTCTTCTTCCCCTAACACTTTATTTTTACCTGTTTGGGAACCTGGCCAAAGTTGGTAATGTATCCTAAGATCGTGCTCCTAATGAGGGGGTCCTTAGAATTATGCCGGCCTCTCTGGATGTAGAAGTACGGATGGAACATGTTGACACTTTCTACTGCAGCTGGACCTTGTTGCCGAAACCCAAAAATGAGGTCGATCCACTGGTGGAGGTGGGAACTCACATAGTCGCTTTCCAAGGCCTAAGGCAAAAAGGTGCAAGAGATTGTTGCACAAACTAAGACCACCTATTCAAGTAACATTACAAAACAACATGCATTGTGCAGTGCTCATTGTTATTACTGTGAGACCGAAACCATCAGTCAAATTGTTAATATGAGAGTTTAGAAACATAAAAAACTTCTAGAAGAATGCACAACCAATCGAATTATTCAGCTACAGTATGGTTTCTTCTGAAAGTCAATTTAAAAGTGCAGGAAGCTACACAGCTGTGTTATGAGCATATCTTCATGTGAGAATTAAAGAATGATTTCAGTATAATTAGCCAGAGATTGGTTTTGAACAGTTAATAAGGAAAAGTGGGCATTATGACCAACCACATCCTTGCACCCAATCTTAATAAACCCATCCTGGAATAACCTAAAACTGAAAAAAGGTATCAAACAAGGATATATTGTCCTTACGTTAATTTGTCTATGGAAGAAAAAACAATCTTCTGAAGTCACAAATTTTATCAGAATGCTTGGCGATATGAGTAGTTCAGTAGATTACAGAGTGATAATCATCATTGTTGCCCCAGGAATGTAAAAAAGGGGAGAGTCACACCATGAAGAAATCAGCCCAACAGAGAGAAAACAGCAGTTACACCCTAACCGAGAGAAAGTGAGGAAAGAGGAAAATATTCAGCCCCCATTAACAGCTGGAAGAAACAAATTGCACTACAGAAAAGAGAGTGTCTTATGCCTTCCTTGAAAAACGTTAAATTGACTTGTTGTCCTTCAATGTCATTCATCTGAAGTTTTTTGCCTTCTCATGCATTTCCTTGACAAGTAAACAACTGCTCTTTATATTGGGAAACAGTCAGTACTAAAAGAGCCAAACTCAATGAGACAAGATGGCCTTTAGCAAACGTAACAAATAAGACATTGGCTGCTGTGAATAAGATCTGTCTCTTATACTGTGGTAGAAGAATGGAGAGAAACAGAATGACAGCAACTAAGTGTATCAGTGGATACTTGTTTTAGATAGTAAAACAGTGCATTTCCATGTAAATGCAGCAAGGTCGGGGGTCACTGACCTCTCGATGGACTCTAATGAACTCCTGGGGGTCGCCTTTAGCCCATGGAGGCAGTTCCACATCTCCCAGAGCCGTACCATCCTCCATACAGCCTATAGAGATATGGACAAACAGTGTGAACAGGCTTCTGGGTTCTATCATGTCACTGTGAGTCATCCTTTCATGAGTGTAAAGACAACATTTGGAGTTCTTTCTTTGCCCTCCTACGCACTATGAAGTAATTTTTAGATGAATAGTCTCTGGTTTTGTTTATCTGCCATTTGCATGAGGACACACATGAGTCACCTCACACCATATGTTTAGAGGAAAAGGTGACTTTTTTTTTTTTAAATTGTACTAATTCTATAGTAAATCTAAAATCAATTGAACTAAGAAGTATTATTGTTCAGTGGCAGACACCTGTTCTAAACCTTTCCTCATTATGTTGAATGATGTAGTTGATTTTATTCTTTTTTTTCAGTCCCAAAATACACCATCCTTCTGCTTTTATTAGTCATTAGACCATGTCTCAATCCAAATCTACCCACAAGGGTTTAAACAAGTTCCATCTGAGTGTTATTTACCCCCCGAAAAGTCCCTGGTGAGGGTGTAGTACTTCTATCACATTACAGTACATCATTCCATTGACAGTTGACGGTACATTCAAAAGTAAATCATGTCTACAAAGAAAATATTTGAAGAGGACATTCAAACTTTTATTCTTTCATTTAGACAGACAGAGGGTGTTTTTTTAAGTCTGACCCAGCTTCATGTTGTTGGAGTTCAGCAGGAAGTCAGACAGGTAGAAGAACTCTGGGATCAGCTCTCTGACATCCCCCATGTTGTCTCTGGAGGCTGACTCCCACTCCTTCTTCACACTGAAAAACATCCGCTCTGGGAGGTCAAATCCTCCCTGTGGGGAGACGAGGGACAACACTTTCAGACCCCCCGGCACTGTGTTAAACCAAAATTTACAACAGGCATATTAATAAAGTAGTCTGCCTGATTCAGTGCAGTGAACCACATTTTATATTCTTCATTGCACTGTGTAAGCAGGAAATATTTGTTACTATTTGAAGGAAGCTTTTCATCTTTCTGTAAAATTCCATAATCTATGATGGAAATCTCACGAGAGAGAATGTAATTTAGAGTAAAACAATTATCTCAATGAATGAAAATAGCATATATAGTGGTAAACTTGGTTAGAGATGTAAATCCAGTTATGGATATTACCACACACCCGTTACACGCTTCAGAAGACAAAAAGACGCTGTAATTCACCAGACTAACATCTTTATTGCTTTATTCTGACTATCAAACACATGCCTTCTCATCCTAATCAATTGGATGCTGCACTGTAAATTGGTCAACATCAGTGGTTATTTACATTGGCTTTCTTTTTGATGCGTTCTGTAATTATCTTCATTTATATTGAAATGTCCCTATAATCTTCCTTTATACCGAAGGCAGCACTGAAACAGGACCTGAGGTGCTGAAAATGTCTCGTATCAGAGTCATATTATTAGCTAAGTCATGTTTGAAAATAAAAAATAGACAGAGTGATGAATGTCAATGACCGCAAATTTGCAGTCCCCCCCACCACCCCCTCAGTAACACCCACTTGATGCAGTGAGCCATAGAATTTGATGTAATACCAGCTTATCATGTTTAAGGACATAAGAAAACTCACCTGCAGTGATTGGAAGGTGTGTGAAAACGGCTCTATCCTGACGAGGAAGGAGGCCACGATGATGGCTGAGGAGTAGTGGGTACAGTAGTGGCAACGTGCTGACAATTCTCCTACACATTGAACCATTGAAAAAAATTACATGCAGTGTATTGAATTAAAAGTGTAATGAATAGGAAAGGTGAGAAAAAAAAGAAAAGAAAAGCTGAACAGATACCGTCACTGTTCTCCACTTCTTCATATCTTTGGATGAACATTTGTTTTCGTTTCTCTGTCTGAGCTCCCATTGGTTTAGACAGATCACGGAAAATTGCAGGATTTGACAGATCAAGTGTCTGTTGAGGTTAAAAAAGGATCAGATAATAAATATAAACATAAAGATAATAAATACAGTTTACAATGGCTTGATGTAGCCAAACCCCTTAAACTTTCAATACCCAGGTGTCTGAACTATAATATAAGTTATCCCCTTTGTCCAGGACAAAGATATGTGAGATTCTACCTCTGAGTGGTAGTCAGCTAGGACCCAGGGAAACACTGGATACTGCATCAGGTCATTGTATGTCCTCCCAGCGATGGTGTTCAGTTGCATCAAGTACTCAAAGTTACTTATTTCCCCTTTCTAAAGCAAAGACAAGAATAGTATAAACACTGGATTACTTTTAATGTCATATCTATTCAACGATCATTCATTACTTAAAGCAAAGTAAGAGTGAGCACTGAATCTGTAAACACAAATATACAGCATGAAGAGTGGTGCTTATTACATTACCTGCCATTTAGCAAGGGCTGCCTTCTCAACCACAGGAGCCTTTCTAAAACACAATAAAAACAAATACCTTGAATTAGCAACAGTGGCTGATCAATGAGCAACACAAACTTTCTGCTTCCTGCTCTGTTGCCTGGCAACCTCTGTTGGAAATACAGACGGCAGTGTTCAGAACAAGCAGCAGTTTGGAGGTGAGTGATTCAGGATTCAGAAATAGTGTGTACACAGCTGTAGGAGCAGTTAAAGGGTTGAGGTGAGCTACAGTATGTGGCATAAATAGTGAGCAGAGGCGTGGAGGACGCAGCACACGGTGCCATCTGTAGGCTGTGAGGAAATATGCTTTGGGTAACTTGTGTGAGTCTCAATCAGACGGGTGAGCTAATATTTTGTGTTTGGGGTGACTTTTTAAATGATATGAGTGAGAGGTAAAAAAGAAAATAGTTTTCTCTCTAGTTTCTGTGACCGAGGAGTTTAAAAATAACAGACTTCTGCTTCACAGCTAAAACAAGCATGGGTTTCTTCTCCAGCTCTTTGTTCAAAGACTATTGTTAGGTGATATTTTAATAGGCATCCACTCAAATAGGGAAACAGGCTTGAAAGTTGCTCTTTAAACAAACTGCTGAGCACAAAATCTCCTCATTCGAAATAGCTTGTTTTCAATTAATCCAGCAGAGCGTGTGTTCAGCTGAACAAAACATCCAAACTAATGACAATGTTGCATAAACATTTTATTATGCATTTTACTCATGGAACACCTTTCTTAACTTGTTTAATTTGAATTGGCAACGCGTTCAACTGCTCCTGAAATCTCTTTTCCCTCTGTGGGCCAGTTACATGTCAATAAAGTCCTGGCGCCAAGCACCCCAGTTGCTAAGTAACGCTATTAAACAAGAGGAACCTTGACTTTCTGTGTTTGGTGTAGGAGAGGCAGGGGAAATGTCGATATACCCTGTAGTGGAAATTCATTGTGAATGTATGTCAGCTTGACCGTTCTCACTCTATTCAACCATGAACATGATACATGCTGATCGCTCCGGCTGCAACTTCTCATTAAAGGATAACTGAAGCTTTGATTTTCTCCATCTTAGTGATGGCCAGTTTATAGGAACTAAAGCTGTTGGCAAGAAAATCATCACTTGATTAATTTCAAATAAGCAAATCGAAGACAAAATATGGTGAGTACATCTTTTAATTTATGTTGATATATCACATGTAGATATGTTTTTTAAACAAGAACACAGTAAAATACCGAACCAAAAAGCAAGGTGCTATAAGTGTAATTTTTTGACCTATATATAACTCCTCCCCTTGTCCAATAACTCTTGGCCAAATTATTTTGTAAAACTACACTAAATCAATCATTGCATTTGGCCCAGTATATGTGTTATCTAATTGCAGGCAATAATTTCATGCAATAGCTTTCTATAGGAGGTTGTAATGGGAACAAGCACCGGTGGATAACCTCTCTCATCCTGAGGATGATGAATGAGGCGAGAGAGGGCCTTGGGGTGTAACACAGACACAAACAGACACACACCTTGCTCTTTGAGACAGGGAGGGGAGAAGAGCGAAGCCCTCATCACACTCCTAACACTCCCCAACTATCATTTATCAAAGTCCTGATTTGACTCTTTGTGTACACGCACATATAATGTAGTATAGCGCATCCATGTCCACACACTTACATGTGGATGGCCTGCACACTCACACCTTGCCTGAAAGGAGCCAAACAGCTCAATCAGTTGAATGGTGAGGGAGCATCAACACTCATTTGTTTTTGCTGTGTTATTCAGTGTTGCCTCTCTCCTATTGTTCCCCTGCATTAGCCTTAATTAGAGAGTCGTGCTCTTAAATACCCCCATGGGCAACACTGGGTGAGCATGCACTAGTGCAGACATAACACTGCAACACACGCACTCACACACAACACTCTCATTCCTCTGAGAGTATGCTTTCCCTACTGCCCTGGGCCATACATAAGCCCCTTGTCTCTGAATAAATCACATCAGCCTTACACACACACACACACACACACACACACACACACACACACACATTTATTTGTGACAGTACAATGTGTAGTGGTGTAGATTATATAAATAATAGCAAATCAGCCTCTTGGGAGCAACTATCACAAGTGAAATCGAGCTGATATTTTAAACTGAGTTGTTCGGTAATTGTGTTACAGTGTCATGCCCAAAGGAAAGGAAGCTAAAGGGACTAAGGTCACCCTCAAGGCCGCCAAAAAGGCGATACGGATGACACTAGACGGACGACACAGACTGACCCTTAGCAACATGGGTATAACCATCTTCCCAAAGTGTCTCCTCAAGCTAACCAATGTAGATGAGTTGGACCTCAGCCGCAACCTGATAAGGAAACTCCCAGACAACTTCGGGAACTTCTCATCACTCAGATGGCTTGATCTGCACAGCAACAAACTTGAGTCTGTGCCAGAGTCAATCGGTAACCTGGTGGTGCTGACCCACCTCAACCTCTCTAACAACTTCCTAACCTCGGCAGGTTTACCCTCCACTCTGGGTTCTCTCACCAGTCTGACGTATCTCAATCTGGGGATGAACAAGCTGGACACTCTACCTCCCACTATGGCAGCTCTAGGGAATCTCCAAGATTTCGGTCTATTTGACAACCACTTCATCAACCTACCAGATTTTTTGCATGTCCTAAAACACCTCACCAAATTGAACATGAAACAAAATCCTCTATCGTATATTCAGGAGGATGGTGAGGAGACGCGACAAAAAAAATCTGAGCCAGAGGAAGTGTACCTAGTATCTGAGAACAAGCTGTGTAGGCCATACTTAAGAAGATGTAAAGAGCAGAGGAAAAGGCTTACAGGACAAGGAAGCGATTTGATCGAGGAGAAAAGGATAAGGACTTATGCAGGACTGATGGTGCCAAACTCAGTAGCTGCAATCAATCAGGATGTGTGGAGAATCAGAGCGGTGGAACTTTTGCAATAATCTTAATGTGAACAAATAGAACAGATTTAGGAATTTGAAAACATTTAGAACATTTAGAATGTCCATGATATTTAGCTATATGTCACACAACTATTTTTCAGTACTTTTCATTTGAGAAGATGAAATAAAAAGATGTAATTGATTGAAATTTTGCTTTTCTGATTGAATGATTGTTCTTACCTGGCATTAGCAATGACCTCAGTGACCCCTCTGCCTTTCAATGCCGACACTACCGTGCACAACCTGCAGAGAGAATAAGTAGAATAAGGATAAGTATCAGAATGCTAAAAATGGAAACCCTGACACGTCCAGTCAAATTTAATGTGGTACCTTTTATATGCAGAGACTTGGTCTTTATTCAGGAATACAAGGAAAGCTGAGTGTCCGTTTTTCATAAAGACCTCGATAGCATTGTCCTAAAAGGCACAGGGGCTCTTTAGTTACTCAGAGACAAAACATTTCTGTGTAATACATATCTTCATCTATGAACTCACCGTTAAAACTAGACTTGTTGCCTGATGCCTTAATGCAAACAACTTCAAGAAGTAAAAATCTGATACTGGCTTTTGTGCTCAGACACTAAATTCTAAATCTAACTTATATTCTGCATATTCACAATTTGGATATTAGATGCATGTTGATATAAGGCCTCTTTAAGAGCATTTGGTTTTCTAACCTCCAAAAGGAAACGCATGAAGTGGGCCTCCTTGATGTCCTCATAGAGCCAGCGTCTACAGCTGGCTGATGGCAGCTCTTTACTCAGCATGGTGGAGAGGAAGGAATCCTTCACACTGACAAAGAAAGAAAGGGGCAAGAGGTGATGAGGTGACCCAACTGATTAACTACATCTGTAACTACATTCAACTGTACCTGCTGGGATGGTGTTTCCTGCAACAAATATCTCCAGTAGGACTGAGAGTGAATCCCTCGCACAGGAACAGGCTTTCTTTACCAAACAGCAGCACCCCCTCCGTCACTCTGAGGCCACTCACCATCACTACAAACATCTTAGCCTTTACCTACAGTGAGATAGAAAGAGAGGAAGATACCTTAAGCCCCATGTGAGAGGCATAATACATATCAGCACATTTCTCTCCCGGGACATGACATGGCAGCAACGCAGGCACTTCAGGCTTTACTTGATTGATCATTTTAATCACATATTTTAATCATTATTAAAAAGACACAGTTGAACACTTCATTATCAGAGCTGATTGATGGGGAGGAGAAGACCCAGCTGCTTTTTTTTTTTTTTTTGCAGTGTGACTGTGTGTTTCATCCAGCGCCAAAATGGACCCACATCCTGCTTTCAGCACTGGTTGCAGCTAATGCTAAACGCATAGTGATAATGTGTAGCTAATTCTATTGTCTCCCCTCATTTCACAGTGAGTGTGTGCACCTGGCTGTCTCCCTGTTTTGCCCCCTCTGCAGGCCCTCTGGGACACAGCGCCCAAAAACCATATGGGGCCCCAACATACCCGCAGGCCCCTCACAATTTATACTAATCAAATCAGACTCCCTACCCCCAGACACAGAGTCACACACTTGAGGGAGGAGGCAGCCCTGGCCTGACCATTATTAGGAGAATTAATCACTGCCACACACACAATAGGAAACCTGCTAAGTGATCAGAACCTCTTGTCTGAATGCACACATAGAGACACGCCATGATGGATAATATCACTTGTCATGTGGGAGCATTTTAAAAAAAGACTGAAGGTGCGTGAGGCTCAGACGCATGGCACTGAAATCTCACGTTGGGCTATATCATGGTCCGAATTTGTGACTGTCTAATCAGCGGGCATAAACTGGCATCAGGCCTAAAGTCCCAAACAATGAATAGATTTCAGAAAAAAAGTTGAATTTATTGTTATCAAAGATTAAATACATAACAATAAACTTGTTTCCTTATCTCTCTACTGTGCTCTGGACAGAAATGCTTTATCAGTCTGCGGGTGATTTAGCTGATGATGGTAAGAAGGAGAGAAAAGGAGGACTTTTATTGACTGAGAGCCTGATGTCAGACCATTGATTTCTCCCCATACACATTACTGTCATAATCACACTATTGGCGCTGGCAAGCTAATTATGAGTGGGTCTCCCTTTGTGTGTAACTTTATATATATGCGTGTGTGTGTGTGTGCACGCCCGTGCATTTTTCAGAGCTAATGACTGTGTTCATTTGACAGGAAGCTCAGCAGGACTCACACAATGAACCACTGCAAGACAACAAGACACACAAGCACACATCACACACTTACTAAGCAGATGTAAGACAGCTTGCATCACCTCCTACTGTTTTTATTAATACTTCTGTCAGAAACATTAAAAGCCGCGGCTGGTTGCCGGAGCGATGAGAGTCCCTGTCAACATGTTCTCTGCTTTCTTACTCACAGGAAGAATGAGAAGAGCCGAGCTGGGCCTCGACATTAAAACGTTACACTAATGAGGAAAGATGAAATTCTGATAGCAGCGCTGGGCTACTGGAATCCCTCAGTCTACATCAGATAATTATGATTGTGAATATTAGTAGGGTGGAAGGGAGTTGCGCTTGTGTTGAGGCATGTTGTTTTTAGCCCAGCAAACCAACAAACCCTCCCGCGCTACAGTACCTCCTCTCCAGGGTGCAACTCCTGCAGGATTATGCGTATGTCAGGGCAGTCTTGTGTTTGGGAGCAGGGTTCGAGGGTTGAAGGGTCAGGTGAACTCTCATTGACAGCCGGTGTCTCATTTAGAACAGGGAAAAAGGTCAAACAATCCTGCCCTCTCTCCTCTCCATCCTCTTTAGCCTCAGCGCCAACTTCAAACAGCATCTTGGGCTCTGTTACAAATCAAACACATTTTTTCACTGAGTTTACATCCAAAACTTTCTGGTTAGAGAAAATTTAAAAAGATCAACACTCTTCTTAACCTGTGTCTCCATCTGTTTTATTTTTGTTCTCCTCACATGTGCCAGTCCTTAAGCCCAGACACAGCGTTCCTAGCACCTGTTGTAACAACATATGGCACTGTTAAAGGTTAGACTGTGCATTATGTAACATGAAATATGACCCTGCATTGAACTGAAAGGCTGTACCCGTCTGGATTGCCTCAAAGTCTTTCTGCGGATGCGTGATCTGGTCCGATTGGGTCCTTCGGCAGCATCTTGCACCCAGTCTCGCGTCAGCAGCACTCCTGGGCCAGGTCCAAATAAAGCTCTCTCCCTCAGCAACTCGGCTTCCACGCGCAGCCACTTAGAGCTTGCTTGCTCCCACTTGCTGGCTTGTAACTGGATCGCAGAAAGCAGGCCCAGAATGGAAGGATTAGATGAGAGGGAATGGGAAATTATTACAGATCTAATTTTGGCTTTTTAATAACATTTGTTTCAGTATATTCACTGTTATGTTTCAGTCAAACCTGTAAGTGGTTCGTCTTCATATTCTGAAAAATGCTGTGGCCTCTGTGTCGATGTGACTCCATGCAGGTCAGAAACTCCTACAAGAGAAAGGACAGTAACCTGAAGGGTGCAAATGAAAAGAGCCGGTTGCACAATCGCTCTTCCTCGAGCTTATATTGTACACACACAACACATTATGTTCACAGAGATTGTATATTCATAATGGTATTGTTGTTTCCTCATGCAATTACAATGCATTCATAAAATTACATCTGTTCTAAATTGCATTCACTGGGCAAAATAAGCTAGTGGCTACAGTGTTACAATAACCCTGTCTGGAAATGTAATCATTTGTTGGTGTGATCTGATTAAAATAAACATTAATATCACTGAGCCATGCCACAGTCAAGGGCAAGGTAAGTGTGTATGTGTGCATCTACAGTGTGTGCGAGCAAGTGTGCGTGTGTCGATTAAAAGAGAAAGGGGAAGAAAAAATAGAAAAAGCACAAACAGAGCCGTGTTGACACTGCAGGATGCTCATGTTCAGCAGACACACTGGGATCATATTCTGACTGTTAACTGCTTCATTAAGCCCATCATCACAGCAGTGCTCGCTGAGAGACTAGTGAAACAACATGTGTCCATCCTTACAGCTGACCCAGGAAAACCATTTAATTGACTGAATGAACATGCAGTAACTCTTTATACCGAGTCTTATTTACAGATGTTTTAATTCTGTCTTTTGCAGTGCAATCCAAAGAATGCAAATGATGAATTCAAGGAAAATAAAAAGGAAACAACCTTCTCTCTAAGACGAAAAATTCAACATCATTTCCGAAAAAGAAATCTGTGCATAAAAGTTGACGACAAACTTTGACAAGCCCTCTAGAGAATGAAAACTGTTTCTCTAAATGAGTGACTGCCTATTGGAATGAAAAGCTGTGAAGAGAAAGAAATAAAGGAGTAATTTGAGGGCAGATTATAGAAATATTACAGAAAAGAGAGTAATAATGAAGTTTGCAAGCTAGAGCCGTGTTTTGACAGATAAACAGCAAGTCGGCGTCATCATCTCCTAATTTCATTCCTTCATTTGGACAAACATAAGTAATATATAGCATTAATTACCCTATTTAGCAGATAGGAACCTCATTGGCTTTTTAAATGTTGCATTAAATACATAACTCATCTCTTCCCACTGCAATTAACATCAGAACATCACACTCATTTCCATTTTAATGACTTCCCAACAATACGCCACCTTTGATGATAAGGCAACATAATGTCAACTTCATTCTGGGCTGGCAGTGAATGTGTAATGAACTTAACGTGATCATTAGTGCTGTTAATTATCTTTCTAATATGAGGACACAGATATGATTATGGAAACTGCATTCGCTGATGAAATAAATCTCTAGGATTGTACTGAAGCTTGACTTAGGATGCAGGCTGCCTATCAGTCTCTATATTCTCATTCATTACCTACCGTCGGCTTTAAAATTCTGTTTTGTTCAGTAAAAGTAGATATCTGACACCCGGAAACTCTGCTCACTGCTCAGTAAAAATGCAATACTATGGATACAGTGACTGAAAAGACTCCACATAAGCTCATGACTTTCCAAATAAAGGTCATAAGTTGATGATCCAGAAATTAATTAATGACTCACTTGTTTGTTCATGAGGATGAATGGCTAAATGAGCGCACTGGCTGACCATTACCGAAGATCTGAGTATCATTTTTTGAACGCTCGCTGCATGCTGCAACCTACTCAGAGCAAAGTGGTGCAACACACTGCAGAGAGGGAGAAGGCAAACATCCCTCCCTCTTCTTCTCTACCTCTCAGATGGAAAAACAATTCATCACCCATTTTGATAGCCTGTCAAAGACTGATATGATAAAGAATAACATCAAATGAATAATGTTTTCATCAGATTGGTACCAATATAATTGCCAACCCGATTTCTGTGGGCAAGAGATGTGCACAAACAAGAACACACGCACACACGCACTTTGTGGAGGTGAGACAGACACACAGACGCGGTAATTTCATGCCTGTGTGCCTGAGTAATATGTCCCCGCTTCCTGCTCCAGATGGCTCGACGTCTTAAGCGTTGTGGGGGAACTAATGATGTGGGCCACGTGTTTCGGGGGGAAAAACAACAATAAACGCGTCTTTAACCTTCAGCCGCAAACAGTGTGTTGTAGTGAGTGTTCCCATGGATAGGCCTAACAGATATCAATTACTATGCCCACTCAGGGGCAATCAGCTGTAATAATCCAAATCCATTTAAAGAAATAATCAAACACCCCCACAGGGCTGGACGGCCCACAGCACAAACACAGCAGTGACTTTGGGATTGAGTGTTTGGGCTCAGTGTACTGGGATAGAGATGATCCTGGGAAAAGGTGACCCCACAGTCAACACATCGTCCAAGCACTGACTTAACACGAGTATTGTATTTACCTCGACCGTTACTGAAGCTTTGTTTGGTCTGCCCCAAGCTGAGCGAACTGCATTGCTGATCATACCAAACGACTTCTGAGTACTGCTCTCCACCTTCTTCTTCTGAGATTCTACAAAGATGAACAAAATTTTAATGTCAAGATCACGGGCCTAACATTCAGACATCTTCTCCATCTGCAGTTATTAGTATAATGAGTGCTAACCTATGTGTAGCAGCCAGGCTTTGTGTGCCATCTCCTCCCAGAGAGGGCTGATATCAGTCATGCTGACAGACCCTTTCTTCGTTCTGTGTGTCGCTGAGATCTCGATCTTATATGTCTCTTCAAGCATGTGTTGCCTCTCCACCATGACCTTTGACCAACAGGCCTCTGCTAAGGACACTAGTTCTCTGCCATCTGTGCACACACAAACACACATTTGTTTCGAGCTTTTAACCCAAAAGGCAGGATGACACAATGAAGTTAAATAAACCCTGCAAACAAATTCTTGGGCATCATACCTGTGGTGGTGTCTGCTCTTTTTCTGAGGCCTGCAGGATGTTTGACTTTGGTAGGAAATAGGTGAAAGGATAACGACCTCTTCTGACGTTTTTGCACAGAACATCCAAATCCGTCAGGGTAGCTACAACATAAGTGTGACAGTGTGAATTAAAAGTGGATGCTAGCTTCATCTACATGTTTGTCTGTGTGGTTTCAAAAATTACCTGCCAGATCGTATCAGTAACAGACAATGAAGAAGGCATGAAATAAAGTTCACGTTTGCATTGTAAGTTGCCATGACAACATCCCAGCGTTCCATGAAGGTCTGTAATGTCCTGATGACTCCTTGCTTTTCTTCTTGGGAATTACGCGGTTGAGACAAGAAATAAAGCAGGACTTCATTGGTGCACGAGTAGAGGGCAGACACCATCTTCTCTTTCTGAGTTTGGCCTTTCTCCAGAGCCTGGAAATATTATTTAGACATTTTTGGTGAACTTTATTTTCCCATGTTAAGTAATTATATATATTAAGTATCTATATGAGGTGTTTCTACATCTTCTTCTCACCACCACAATCTGATCTGTGAGGAAGTTGAGCAAAGTGTCAGAGTCTCCCAAGAATGTTCCACTGTAAAGTTTGTGCAGCAGAGTCTTAGTGAAGAGCACCACATTCTCCATCAACATGCCCATCAGTCCTTCACGCCTCTTATTCGAGTCTGTAAGATATGAAAGGTCATTCACATGAGATACTTTAATGAATAGTCAGGTCAGTTTCGGGTTTGAGGAAACATGCATGAACAATCGACCTTGTGAGTTGAGATGAGTGTTGTTTTCATCGTCATGGCTGAGCATGTGAATGATGTCCATCATCAACTCCAGTAGCTCCGTCTGGAAAATCTTCCTCTGTTCCAGCGATGCACCATCAGGGCAAAACTGAAACA